GTGACCACGAGAGTTTTATTAATAAAAGTTTCTGTGTTTAATATTAACTCAGTTTTATAAAAATACTTGTTACATCTCAATCTTTAATTATTCCTCCGAACTAAAACGAGTTGTTTGAGCCGTAAACTCTTCAATGCTGATGTTAACGTTCACATCTGGATCAATATAAGTTCAAATGTCTCTGCCTGTTTAAAATGAACCCTGTAGTGCTAAACTGCTAGATTATATATATTGAACTTGCATTTAATGAGGGATAATTTCAGATATAAAGTCGGGTTTTACTAAACACTAACTAAATACCAATTAAACACTAATTAAACACCAATTAAACATGAATTAAACATGAATTAAACATTAATTAAACACTAACTAAACAGTAATTAAACACCAATTAAACACCAATTAAACATGAATTAAACATTAATTAAACATTAATTAAACATTAATTAAACACTAACTAAACAGTAATTAAACACCAATTAAACATGAATTAAACATGAATTAAACATGAATTAAACATTAATTAAACAATCTCTGAGTTGTTCTATTAATGTTCTCAGTTTTGTTCTCCGTGAGTTTGATTCCCACGTTGCTGAAGAGCTGCAGGGATTTCAACCAGCAACCGTCCAGGTGAAGCGTCCGTCCTCTCGTCCTCTCGTCCTCAGTTTCCCTCCTGAAGAGGAATTATCTGCGTCTTTATGGATTTATGGGAGATTTATTGTTTTACACTGATGAGTATTTAGTTTAGTTTGCTGCAGTAAAATCACATAAAAGCCACAATAATTCTCATCACACGAGTATTTGTGTTTTCAAGTGTTTGATTGATGTTATATTGATCTTATATTGATGTTATATTGATGTTATTATTGAGAGCAGCTCCTGGTTTAAACAACAATAACAAACTTTATATACATTCACATTTATTCAATATTAAATCAACCTTTTCATTACTATTTTTATTTGACTTCAAATAAAGGTTAACTCTCTTTATTACAACCTTTTCACTGTTAATTAAATATTTCAGTTGTTCTGTTTTCTTTCTATTTGTGTTTATTTTATATATTAAAGCAACAAAACGGTTTTTCACAATCAAATTTCAAATTAAAGCTTGACACAGTTTAATGAATCAGGAGGAGATTAAAAGTTAAACAATAATATTAATTGTTAACAGATTAATTAGATCAGAAAATTCATGTTTTTGTGATTTTATTTAATTATTACTTTTATATTTGTCCAAAATGTGATTATTAAATTCAGATCAATTCCAACTTTATTATTTGTAAATCTCATAAATCAAATAAATGAAGTGAAACACACTGAAACAACTGCATGTTAAAGGTTAAAGGTTAATTTATGAATTAGATTAATGGATCTAATGAGTCTGACCTTTGACCTTCTTGTGGCTGAATGTGATTTGAAGATAAAAACAGAGAATCTGAAATTAATTAATTTATATATCGTAGAAAGTTACAGTGGAAATTAAAGTAATTGACCCATATTATAAAATAAAGTTGATTGTGGCGCCCCCTGTGGACAAAACCGCCTCGTTTCATTGAATTCAAGGGGAATCCGACCCGGTGGCGTTAAGAATAATTACTATTATTTATTTAAATAAATAAAAATATTATTGTAGATCATAAAGAGGAATCAGTGACAATCATATTTATCCATTTAAATTAAATATTTATTTATTTATCCACCAAGGTAAATGTTTACTTTCTCGTGGTTCATTAAACATTTAAACAAACAAACAACAACAACACTGACACTTTTATTAATAATAAAAAATAATAATGAACAAAATAAAATACACAACATGAACCCTGAGGAAGAAATGACAAAACATTTAAGAAAAATTAAATGTTCAAATGTTTTATTTTTATAATAATAAATACATAATAAATGACAAATGACCTCATTCTCTGATTAATTGATTAAATATTATAATCTGAAAACACTGACTGTTGATATTTAACATAAAACTCATCATATTTATTATTTAATTTACAGCAGCAGGTCAAACTGATCTTTATATTTAACATCCAACAGTGTTACCACAATAAAACCAACTAATACAGCTGCTGTCAAATGTTACAAAATAATATGAATTATATTTAATTAAAGTGCCCGTAAAGACGAGTTTTTACAACAATTACAATAAAATGTAAGAGACAGTAATCAGAGATATTAATAATAATACTGTAATTAAACTGCTCCAGGCGTCGCTCAGCTTTAGAGTTTCTCCTAAAGACAAAAGAGAAACAATAAAGAAGGACGGAGGAGACGAGATAAGGAGTGTGTGTGAACTGGGCGTCCATCTTGTTTCTGTTTCCCCCTGTCACCTGTCCTCAGGTAAACATTAACCCGCTAACGGCCATAAAACTCCACTTTATGGAAAGTTTGATGATGGCGGCGGGTCGTAAACGCCGAAGCCTTTTATGGCCTCGCTGGTTGTTTCTGCTCACCTTGACACAGTGTGGGTGTGTGTGTGTGTGTGTGTGTGTGTGTGTGTGTGTGTGTGTGTGTGTGTGTGTGTGTGGGGGGGGGACAAAGCTTAACTTATACGTTTCTAGCTACAGTTTTTAATCATTTTAATTTTTAATCATTTTAATACCAAATTTAATTAACAATAGCCAATATATCATTAAAACATCTAAAAATGGCCGACGTTTGAATAAATTGAATTTGAATGGTTTCAACACAAAGCGTCTAATGTTGTGTTTTACATTTCTTTTTTTTGCTTCGTCCAATATTTTGGCACCTCAGGGCCACCGTACAGGTCGTCGACCTTACTGAGCGCTGCTTCACTGTGTTGTATAATGTTTGTATTAAGTGTCTGTTTCTTTCTGACTGTGAAAAACTAAAATAAATCTAAAATAAATCAGTTTTTCTTTTGTCTGAATGTTTGTTTACATTTTATTTTATACTGATTGACCTAAAGAACATTTATTTACACCAAATAAGCATCATATACTACTAATAAAGTTCATTGCAGGTCATTATGTCGTATTAATAACATATATTGTAATGTAATAACACAATAAAACTGCTTCAGTGCTTCTGTACGGTCAATAAAGGAGTGTAACGAGTGTTTGTGTCAATAAAGTTTCTATTTGGGGAAATTTCTTTCTCACAAATAAATAAATACATTTTTGATTTTATTTAGATTTTAAAGTTTCTTTTCTTTTGTGTCGGACACAGAAGTGTATTGATCTAAATGTCCTGTAGTGATATATTCGCTATATGTTGTCCCATTTTTACTGTTTATAATATTATAAAGACAAACAAACAACTGAATCTATGAGGCTTTATTGTCCAACATAATTCAGACTTTATAAACTTTCCTAAACAAATAAATCTTTTCAGAAGGTTCAATATGTGTAAGTTTATGTTTATTCTGTTTTAAAACAACAAACATAAAGTGAGTGTCCTGATGTTAACTGCTGCTGCCACCTTGTGTTCAACATCTGAACAACAAGTTACTATTATTAATATTATTATAAAACAACTGGATAATAATAACAGATATAAAGTGAGAACTACAATGTCTGAACATAATAATAATAATAATAATAATAATAATAATAATCAGCAACTATTTTAATCATCAAATGTTTTCATTAAACAAATGTATAAAAGAGTATATAAAGCATTATTATTATTTTTATTATTATTATTATTATTGTTGTCATAGTAACATTTTATTGACCAAACTGATTAATTGAGAAAGTATTTGCCAATTAATCTTTTTTTTAAATAATATTTTTATTGAGATTTTCAAATATCAGAATCAGAAATACTTTATTGATCCTCAGAGAGAAACAGTTGTTCCACTCACACGTTAAAGAATATTACTTATAAACAATATCTAACTATATATAATATATAGAATATAAATAATTGTATAGGTATAAACATATAGTAAAAAGTAAAATAAAAATAGAAATATAATACGAGCCGTAGAGATATAATAAAATAATGAGAGCTTATATACAAAGTAAATATAAATCTAAACATATGTGTAAACATATTTTACAGTATTGCTGACAGAAATTAAATAAATAGTGATGAGTTTTAAGATTGTGAGTTACAAAGAATAACATAATAATCCAGTGAATTGTACGTTGACCCGGGTATTAATACTTAATAGACTTATTGCACATTAACCAGTTTAATGACTAATGACGCTCTGAGGGAGGAGTTTACAGTTTAATCAACTTTATTATAGTTTACACATATTATACATTACATAGACTGAGACAGTGCATAAAGTGCATCCAGCAAACATTTATAAAGTGCTTTACACAGGAATGTCAACCTCCAGCAGACAACAGCAAACAGGATGGCAATAACAGCCACTGCATATTAATAATATAATTACATAAAATAGACTAGAAAAGGTTTAGTTCACTTTACAATTAAATACCCGTTGCCAACATTTTGTGTCACATGTTAGTTAATTAATCATTAATAAACATAAATGTCCAATTCAATATGTTTAATATAGATTAGTAATAAATAATAATAAAATGTAGGTCACAACAATTAATCTAAAATGACTTTAAAGTTAATAGATGATAGTTTCCAGCAGTATCCACACACACGGATACAACAGAACATTTAAGGAGGGAATTCATTTGTGTGACTTTTAAATAATTCCTGATGAATTGTGATTAAAATAAAATAATCAATAACTAAACACAACAGTAAAAACTGTAAGAAAATAACACCTTTATAAAATGAGTGTGCAGACCTCCATAACAACGTGCTGAACGTCCACCGATAGTCTGAGACGATTAATCAGAAAATAATTATGTAATATTTTTTATGTAAAATATCAATAAAGTTTATTTTTAAAAAAAGAAGATAAAAACACACAATCATTCCTAAAATAAATAAATAATAAAAGAAGTAAATCTGCTGTTTGGCTCCGCCCCCTGAACTACGCGCTGCCTGTCCTCTGTTACGTCCGCAGTCAGGCTGTAAATAGTGACGGTCGAGCAGCATCCACTCATTCACCGTTGACTAACCGACAGTAAGAAAATGTCTGGCCGCGGAAAAGGAGGCAAAGGACTCGGTAAAGGAGGCGCCAAGCGTCACCGTAAAGTTCTCCGTGATAACATCCAGGGAATCACCAAACCCGCCATCCGCCGTCTGGCTCGCCGTGGCGGTGTGAAGCGTATCTCCGGTCTGATCTACGAGGAGACCCGCGGTGTGCTCAAGGTGTTCCTGGAGAACGTGATCCGTGATGCCGTCACCTACACCGAGCACGCCAAGAGGAAGACCGTCACCGCCATGGACGTGGTGTACGCTCTGAAGAGGCAGGGCCGCACCCTGTACGGCTTCGGGGGTTAAAGCTCATCCAGACCCGCTGATAACGAACCAAAGGCTCTTTTAAGAGCCACACACTCTATCTGCAGAGCTCACAGTCCTCAATGTGCCTTCATGTTTAATATAAATTCATAAAATATATTTAACCGGGTCACTGTAGTGTGTTAGTGGACTGAATAATGAAAGGTTGTACATTTTCAGCTGATTATAACAATGTGGTCTGAATTAGACCTGTTGGTGTTTCTGTGCAGGTTGAAAATGTAAACATTGTTTTCAGGCATTTTTATATTTTGTACATATACAGTAATGCTTCTGCACTATATCTTCTCCTTTTATATAAACTTTATTACATTTTCATTCATTACACACAAGTATTTGATATTGAGCAAAACAGTAATGATGTATATTAATAAATGTTGCTGCAATAATCCAACCATAAATAATCCAGTTTGCATAAAGTATAATGAAAATAAATCTTTTGTTTTATATAATTATCTGTGAGGTAAAATGAGTTTCAATGCCCAGTTGTTGCTCTGAGACATTATATATAAATAATATATAAACATCTAGTAATTTGCTTAGAATCTGATGCACACCATTGAACTGCACATTTCATAAAGTGTATATATATTTCATTTATAGTTTTATATTTTCTATTATATTGTGACACTATTGTATGAACACTATACTCTTTATATCAACTTTATTAAATTATACACATATATTACACCTTATATAAACATTTTAGTGAACATTTATAAAGTGTATACAGTCAGAGAGTCTGAGGGAGTTAAATGTCTATAAAGTTCTGAATTATAAATCCACATTGTTCAATAGCAGCAGTGACATTAGTCCAGGGTTTTCCTCCTCCAGAGTTCAGTGATTATTTGTTTAGTTACAGTCTTACTGTCTATAATATGGACCTGGACCTTTAAACCAAAGTAAAGCAGTCACAGAAATATGAGTGAAAGTGAATTTGCTCTGGTTGTTTTCTTTGTGATGTGATCTCAGAGCAGTGTGATGGATCATATTTCACTTTAAAATGAGACAAAGCTCCACCCCTTAAAGACATCATCTGAGACCAACCAGGAAACAGGTTGTTCCTGTTCAGTTCTCACTGAGGAGAGACACACAGACAGACAGACAGACGGTAAGATTTACCTTCATTACAAAGCTGTGACTTTAACTGAGGGAGGACAGTTACAGGACGGAGGACTGAAGTTCTCTGAAGTTCTTCAACCTGCTGCTGAATGTAAAAACTCTCAAAGACTCAAAGTGAAAGTAACTGAGGCAACTTTTTACAGCAGGGCGGGAACCATAACTGACTTCCTGTTTAACGTGCTGTCTGCTGTTTCCAGCTGCACTCAGAGACAAAATGGCTTCCAGATTAGAGGAGGATTTCTGCTGTCCGGTCTGTCATGAGGTCTTTAGAGATCCTGTTGTTCTGTCATGCAGCCACAGCTTCTGTAAAGACTGTCTGAAGAGCTGGTGGAAGGAGAAAATAACACGTGAGTGTCCAGTTTGTAAAAGAAGATCTTCGAGGAGTGAACCACCTTTAAACCTGACTTTAAAGAACCTGTGTGAGAGTTTCTTACAGGAGAGAGATCAGAGATCTTCAGAGGCTCTCTGCAGTCTGCACTCTGAGAAACTCAAACTCTTCTGTCTGGACCATCAGCAGCCAGTGTGTCTCGTCTGCAGAGATTCAAAGAAACACACCAACCACAGATTCAGACCCATCGATGAAGCTGCACAGGATCACAAAGAGGAGCTCCAGAAATCTCTGGAGCCTTTAAAGGAGAAGTTAAAGGTTTGTGAAGAAGTTAAAGTGAAGTTTGATCTAACAGCAGAACACATGAAGGTCCAGGCCCGACGCACAGAGAGGCTGATTAAGGAGCAGTTTAAGAAGCTTCACCAGTTTCTAGAAGAGGAAGAGGAGGCCAGGCTGGCTGCACTGAGGGAGGAAGAGGAGCAGAAGAGTCAGATGATGAAGGAGAAGATGGAGGCCCTGAGCAGAGAGATAGCAGCTCTTTCAGACACAGTCAGAGCCACAGAGGAGGAGCTGAGAGCTGAAGACGTCTCATTCCTGAACAACTACAAGGCCGCAGTGGAAAGAGTCCAGCAGCGCCCCCTGCTGGAGGATCCACAGCTGCCCTCAGGAGCTCTGATAGACGAGGCCAAACACCTGGGCAACCTGACCTTCAACATCTGGAACAAGATGAAGGACATGGTCTCCTACACTCCTGTGATTCTGGATCCAAACACTGCTGGTCCATATCTCATCCTGTCTGAAGATCTGACCACTGTGAGACGAGGAGAGAGACAGCAGCTTCCTGATAATCCAGAGAGGATTGATTATTCCTGCTCTGTTTTGGGCTCTGAGGGCTTTAACTCAGGGACTCACAGCTGGGATGTCGAGGTTGGAGACAGTATATTCTGGAGACTGGGTGTGTTAGCAGAGTCTGTCCAGAGGAAGGGAAACATACGGTCTGGATTATGGAGAATATTGTTCTCCGAAGGTAAATACTATGCACGGTCACCATCAGCTCCATCCACTGGTCTTGTAGTTCAGAAGAAGGTCCAGAGGATCAGAGTGAATCTGGACTGGAACAGAGGAAAGCTGTCGTTCTCTGATCCTGATACTAACACACACATACACACCTTCACACACACTTTCACTGAGAGGATGTTTCCATTCATTGACACTGTGAATAAAGTGAAGATATTACCAGTGAAGGTCAGTGTGACAGTGGAACAGAGCAGTTAGAGATAAAGAGGATGATTATATTCATCATGTTTTAAAGGGAAAAGTCTCTGAATAGTAAAATGATCTTTTATTAAATGAGTGTATGTGTGAGGGACGAGTACAGAGACACTGACAGCAGAGACACACACTTTATCTACAGAGCTCAGAGTCCTCAATGTGCTGTGAACGAGTTATGTATAATATCAATTAATGGACATTTTTCATGATCATTCTTTAGAGTGCATAAAGGCACAAAATCTACACACTTGTGATATAAAACTTGACGACAATAATGTCAGTATCATGTAACGGTCCTCGCAGTGGAACAAAGATCAACTTGTGTTTTTTTGGCTTTTAGTTTCTAACATTTTATTCTCTTTTTACACATATTGTTTTATGATGTGTATTTTTAGACCATCTTAAACAACGTGGCCTGAAATAATCCCCAAGTACACAAACGTACAGATTGAAACCATCTAAATAAATATTTAATTAATGAAATATTATTAATATGATTATTATATTGATATAATATTGATTACTAAAACAGACCCGACTTTGTTAATCTTGTTCTTGCTCTGTGTATATATATATATATATATATATATATATATATATATTATTATAATAAGTGGAAATGTTACAAGGGCAATAGTTTCTTTGTTACAGCACAAAAAATAATAAATATTTGGTATCTATGATTAGGACTGAAAGTAGAAAATCATGTTATTATTATTAATATTCTACAGTTTAATTCTGATGAGTAAGTATTTGATATTAAACAAATAATAATAATGTATATAAATAAATGTTGCTGCAATAATCCAACCATAAATAATCCAGTTTGCATAAAGTATAATGAAGATAAATCTTTTGTTTTATATAATTATCTGTGAGGTAAAATGAGTTTTACTACCCAGTTGTTTGTTCTGAGATATTATACATAAATAATATATATACATCTAGTAACTTGCTTAGAATATGTTGCACACCATTGAACTGCACATTTCATTTAGTGTGTATATATATTTCATTTATAGTTTTATATTTTCTCTTACATTGTGACACTATTGTATGAACACTGTACTCTTTATATAACTTTATTAAATTATACACATATATTACACCTTATATAAACATTTTAGTGAACAAACAATAGTTCATATTAATGACAGTCTGAGAGGAAGCTGAATATGTGTGTGTTTGTTGTGCTGGAGGGATGGGCCAATGGATTGTGTCAATGTTTTAATGACTGTCAAATTCAAACAATAAAGAGAGAATTATGAAATGGAAAAATAAATCTGATATTGAGCAATTGAGTGTTTTTGAGAAGCAAATAGTCAGCTGGCAGACGACACAACGTTGTTTCTTAAAAATGTTGAGCAAATTCCAAAAGCTGTTCAGATTATTGATTTATTTTCCAAACTGAAGCTGAAAAAGTGAATTATTAGTTTCACATGAGTGTCATCTAGTGGCAGCACATGGTATCCCCATTAACACTCTGCTCCAATACTTACATAATATATATATATATTTAATAATATATTATAATTATAATAATAATAATAATATATTGTCACAACCTGGCTCAAAGGAGGGAGACCACACAGTCTGTGAATTGTTAACACAATTTAATCAAGTAAATACCAAAATAATCAATACAGTTTAACATGTCTATCAGTAAATCAGTCTGCAATGTCTGTGTGAGTGAAGGGTGAGGTGTATATGTACGAATATAAAACCCAGAACACAAACAAGAACCAGCAGTTCAGTGAGCAGCCAGAGGAAGAGAGTGAGAAAGCCTTGCAGGTCTGATTTACAGCCTCCTGAACCCAGCCTGCTCAGGTGAGCTGCATCAGGGAGGAATCTCAGCTCCACCCCCTTACTACCTGAAACCAAGAAGAATAAGGCCAACACTAGGGCCGTCACAATATGATAAATAATAAATATCTTTAATGACAGAAGTTATTTGAACTCAAACATATTGTTGGAACAGATTACATCAAATATCAAATATTTAAAAATACTTACTTACTGTCATTTAAAAAAAAAAGTTTTATTTTTCATTTTTGGCCATAAATGTGTCTTCTGATGGGAACTGCTGCTGACTCCTGCAATAAGAAACTGAGAGTCGTTTGGAGAGCCTTTGTCTCCGCCTATCTTCATGAACAGATGTTTTCAATAATGAATCTGAACAAAAGATCACTTCCACACTGTTTTGCCGACTGCTACAGCACAATACATAAAACCAGACATTACGAGAGGAAAACAAATAGGTGAGTATTTTTAAAACCTAAATTACAAATATAATAAAATGTATTTCAACCAACAACAACAGTTCAATATGTGTGTAATTTAATGGTTGTGCTTGCATTTTGTTTTGTGTTTGTTTCAGAACATGATCAGTGGATGAGGACGGTGTGATCAGATACTTATCAACCCAAAACCTGATCAATATATTTGTGAACTGAGACAACCTTTATTGTTGAGTTAATGACACATCCTACTTTATATGTGCAGCAATATTCTTATTGTGCTTGATGTTATCGTTGAATTGTTTGAATTTAAATTGTATTTTGTTTTATTGAAATTTTTTTAATTTTTTAATTTTGTTGAGATCAAAAAAAGGTAATAAATATTGATCCTGTTTGGCCCCTTATGTGATTGACTTTGACTGTAGATGATCAATAGTTTGACCTGATACATGAGATTTATTTTAACTATTGAAATTAAAAATGTTCAGTTTGTGTT